TTCTTGCCTGCCAGTTTAACATTTTTATTGTAAATTATTGTCTGCCTATTGGACATAAGTGCCGTTATGGAGTTATTCTTGCCCTGATGACGCTACAGTGTATGTAGCGAAATACGTCAGCGATAAGCTGTTGCAGTATCTGCTGTATTTGATGCCCTTAGCCATGAATTGTACGATATCTACATAACTATATGCTCAGAATCGAAAAAGTAAAGTATTAGTGTTTCACGCAGCTGCGAAGATTTTCAGTTAATTTCGGCAAACTATCCTTAAATATGTGCTATATGGCCTGCATCTAACCTTACGTGGCATGTAACTGTACAATCGCTTGCAATCAAGTTTCGCAGGGGTTCGTTTTACACAATCCGTCTGAAAATTCTTTATGCGTTACACAATTCAATTAAGAAATTTCTCTCACTATTTTATACCAGTACATCAGGAATTATTGTTCCAGGTCTGCTAATATACAACATCAGGGTGCTATACTGATCATCTAGACAGGTTCTAGAGTAAGTGGCTTTTCACACAGTGATTTGCTGAGGTTCGTAGCTGGTATGCGGTCTTTTGGCACTAACATTGGTAAGAACATCTTGGAGAATAGAATTCTTCCTTGGAACAATGTCCATCGGAAATTTTATGAACTAAACCTACGCATTTTTCTGTCACTTGGCCGAATTCGTAGACCGTCTGCTTGCTTTGACTCGTGCAAGCGAATAGTTAAATAAACTACGGCTCCATAATATTTTGGCAACTGCAATGCATGGTCTTAAAACAGCACCACGTTGAAAGAAAATATTTTCTATCAGCAACAAACATATGTCGATCCGACGGAACATATAATGGAAATAAGCTGTGTCATGGATTTGCTAGAAAATTGTCTGTTTGGATACCGCAAACAAAAGTTACAACTTCTTGTCGCTTCTCATGATTCGAACGAGATGTCCGCGAACCGACAGGAAGACGAAGATGAAGATTCTCCGGATTTGTTGAGCAAAATCGCACAATCCCCTTACTTTTGATTGCACTGGCGACTACTCTAAAAGATCATGACTACATGGCATTCTGGCACCTGCAGATCTAAGTCTGAAGACTGGACTGTCAGTGCTCAAATCATTCTTTATTCCGATGCTCAAAAGTCGTAGAATATGGCTGAAAATTTTTGATTCTGGGTAGAAACAGCTAAAATGGGCATTCTGAGACAAGTCGTTAGGCCTCTCGACATGGTCCAGAATACAGACATCTGCAAAAGTCTTGATGAAGAGTCCCTGCTTTTTCATGTTGAAAAGTCACAGCTGCGATTGTTTTGCAATGTGTTGCGGATGCCTCCAGAAAGGAAGGCGAAGCACTTAGTCCTTTCCCAGCCAACAAGCAGTAGGCCAAGGGATCGAATAACCTGATGCAAATATATGGACGGAGTTAATCTAGAATAAGATTATCATCTTCCGAAGCTCAGATTCTGGCACAGGATCGGAAACGTTGGAAGCACCGTCTTACGCATCTCCATCGAAAGGAGAAATTGCCTTGGAAAATGAATGAATGAGTTTGCTGGCAAACCCACAAATCGGGATTAATTTCTATTAGACGAGGGTATGTGAATGAGTTTGAGAACGGAACTGTATTGTAAATCTATAATTCCAGGTTCACAAACGTTTCAGAAAATCCTGCAAATGTTGAATAACAGCACTTTCATTCTTTCAGTTTGTTTCTATTATCATTGTTTAGTGATTCTCTACGAAGGAGAGTTCTTTCGTTCCTAATTTTTTTGTTAGGTCTAAGAACACATTTACAGTTCTGCATAAAGAAATTATATAGATTTTATGTTTTTGCTGGAAACGAAATGCTCTGATGATCTGATTCAAATTGTAAACTTTCATTTATTCATTGCATATATATGTGCAACATTTTGGAGTTACTTCTTAGGCTGGCTGTTGCAACGTGACTTGATTTCTTTGAAATTTTTTATCTTACCATTGGATTACTTCCATGCCTTTCATCTGTGCTTGAAAGTAAATTTATAATACTGTTTCTAGGCGAATGTGAAATGATACTGATCTGCCGATTTAATAGTATAAAACCGAACTCATTTGTCCGAGTTAACTTTTACATGTACCTGCAGGTTTTATTTGTCTAGGGTGTCTGTATAAAGTCGGCAGTGTTCGTTTCGCCAGTGTAGCATTTATGTAATTTCGAGTTATGGCGGAGTATTTAGCTTCGATTTTTGGTACAGAGAAAGACAAGTAAATACTAATCAATTTTAAGTACATATTGCATGTAATATCTTAGAGTTAACTGTTCGTTTTACTTCAAAATCGGTGCATGTCGACATGGCGATAAGTGTTCACGAATTCACAATCGTCCGACATTCAGTCAGGTATTTTGATATTTTCTGTAGTTGTACTTCTTTTGATGTTGTTTTTGTTATATGCATTGTGCAATTAAATTACTTATGATTATATTTATGACCCTGCTGAAGTAATTGCTACCGTGGAAATGAAATGAAACATTGGATCTCGATTTTGCGTAAATAGCTGTAATATACCTAATATTGTCAGTAAAAATGTGTAAAAAATAAGGTAAGGTAACGTAAAACAACTGAAAGGAACTTATGCTTGGTGAGTGTGTGCAGGTGGTACTGCAGAAATACGGTTGCATGTGAGATTTTTCGCTAGTAAAATGCAGCATTTGGCATACTTGTCTTAATTGCAACATTATGATGATTTG